ATATGGTTCATGGGGTCACGAAGAGTCGGACACGACTTAATGACTAAACAACAATTTATTTAGTATTGTAGTTATCCCTACCCCAACAATTCATGTTTGAAATGATGTCCCAGAATTGGAAAAGATAGTTTTCAACAATCCATCTCATTGATACTTGAACCAACAGCATTTAGTCAACATTCTCAAATAAAGCAAAGCATTTCCTTTGAGCTGACAGAAAACACCAAATTCTCAGCCTGATGTTTTTAATGTGTAGTCATAGACGATGTTGTACTTTGGGGACTCTTAAAAACATCTTGAGCTGCTTGAAGATGATGAGCTCATGTTCTTTCCCTACTTTGAAGGAAAACATGCCAAGCTGTAAAGACCTCAGATTGTGTTTGACAAATGGGTGAATCAGGAGATTCTAATCTATGCCAATTATTTTAGTTAGGGACCTAGGAGATTTGATTCTAGTAATTATCATGGCTAAGTGCATAATATTTGTGAATATCCACGCCAAACCAATGTGAGTGAAATTCCAGTGAATAAGAATTCTGATTTCACATGCCAATCTGAAAGAAATACTTTCTGTACTGCAAAAACAAAAAACAAAAGAACCTACAGACTTTATGAAGATAATTGCTTGGATCTAAAGCTGTCTTACACAAATTGAAATCTAATTCTATTTGTAAATGGGACTCCTGACAAATTCCTTCAACTTCTTTTCTCTTTTTCAGCTCTTCATTCCCAAAGGACTTCATATTGGGTCTGTTGATCTTCAGTATTAGTGTTTGAGGAAGAAGCATGGGTCTCTAATGGGGTGGGACACAGGAACCCTGTAGGAACCCTCCATTGCAAGAGACGAGTTCAGTTGAATTCCTTTGAATCTATATGGTTCTTTTACCAATACTTTCCAGCAATATCCATTCAAATTAATCTGCTACTGCTTATCTGCGGTCAGAGGACAGATATAGTGTAGAGGGTGTGGCATCATAGTAGCAAATCTATGCATATTCAAACTGATGTCTGCAAGATGCTACGCATATAGAATTATAAGTGCTTAGAACTCTTCATATGACCAGAAATCATGTTTTTTCTAACTTTCTAATCATGCTGAAACACTCCCACATATCTGAAGAAGTATAAAGTATCTTTACAACTGCGGAACAGCTCAATGAGGACTAAATGTGCTCAATGGACAAGGAATGCTGACTGACAGATACAGGAAAAACTGGAAGTCAAGAGGAGAAAGAATGGATCAGGGTATTCTAAAATAATGAAAAGCTGGAATATAGAGCAGTGCAGATCTCTAAAATATTTTGTTGCACGTTCCATTTGTTCAACTGAATACAAATACAATACAGATAGAGTTCATTCTCTATTGTATGTCATCATAATTATTTTGTGAAAATAGGGGATTGAGGATTTGTATTAGTTTATTTTACAGCAGAGACCTGTATGGATCCTACTTTTGTGAATGCTTTAACATTCTTCACAGTCAGAAATCATGAAATTTAGCAATATGTTCTGGCTTGTCATATTAATGATAATGAAACAAAGCAGAATGACACCAGAAGGAACATCCAACATTATGGAGAAAAGTCCATTAAGAGATTCTATCTCTAACCTGTGATAAATCTTAAGAGCAGCCCTGCTGGAGGAGGCCAAAGTCCATCTTAGCACAGCATTTTTCTTTTTCCCACAGTGGCCTATCATATGCTCTGGGGTGCCCACACAGAGGAGACAGACACACACTTCTCTGAAATTGGTATTTGGAGACATGCTGCCCCCAATCCAGAGGTACACTGAATCTTGATAGATCATGAATTTATCCAATCCCTTTTAAAGCCACCCAAGTTAGTGTCCATCACTATGCCTCCTTGTAATTGCCTGGTAATAAATTGCAGAGGTTCCTTGTCTACTCTGGGAGCAAGAGCTTCTTTTTGTCTATGTTAAATCTCCTTCCAAACAGCTTCATTGATTATCCTTGTCTTAATATTTGGAAAAAGGGAGAAAAGCTTCTCCCTGTCCTTTTCCCCACGCCATGCAAACTTTTATACACTTCAATCATATCACCACCCACAATGGAATCTTTAGCTTGGGTTCTTTTCAAGCTAAAGAATCTAGCCTTTTCTTGTAGGGAAGATGTTTAAGCCCTTAATTCCTTTCATAGCCCTCTTCTGCACCTTTTTCAGTCCTATCCTTTTTCAGATGTAGGGACCAGAACTGTATAAATTTGCCAGGTACAGAGGTACCATGGATTTGTATAAGTGCATGACAATATCAATGTTTTAATTTTCAGTCTTTTTCCTAATGATGGATATTCACATTTCCCCACCCCCACCCCATCCTGATACACTTAGCCTTTGATGAGCAATTATCGAAGACTTTTTGAAAACTCAAGAATACAGTATCAATAGGGTTATTTTATATCCATGTATCTATCTACTAATGTTCTCAATAAAGTCTAAATGGTTGGTGAGGCAGTCATTTATGTTTGTACAATTCATGCTGATTTTCCTTCAAGCAAGGCTTGTTTCTCTATATGCCTCCCCCCCCCTTTTTTTTATTTGATTACTGCTTCCACCAATTTGTTAGAACAGACATTAAGGTGACTAGTCTATATCCCCTTGAATATTTTCAAAACCAAGATGATTTTCCCTATTATAATACATACATCATCATCAGCTTTACTTTTATAGGGTTAATTTTTAACACAATCCTGTATGTGCCTAATTCAACTAACCAGACTTACTTCTAGGAAAGTAGGTATAGATTTGCAACCCAGTGTTATAAAAAGGATTGTGCTGAAGAGCATATTTATGTGCCATAAAATCTTAGAATAGCAATTACTGAAACAATGAAATGTGTGATTTCTAAATATAGCAAAAGAAAAATATTTAGGAAAGGGCCAAACTGCAAGTATTCTGAAAATTATAATTTAACTAGTATGTTCTCTTCTGGTCTTTCCTTCAACAATTTTTGTTCCTCTAGCTGAGCTTTTGCTAAACGTGCCTCACTTCATCCTATCATCAGCTAGTATCCTCTTCCCAATCTGCAGTAAATCATTAATCTTTCCTTTTAACCTCAATCCATGTCATAGTCACGTAACAGAGCAGGAACTGTATCAGATTCATATTCTGTACAAAACTCAGTTAACTTTTTTCTCTTAAAACTTTGAAAGACAATATAATCCCAATTTCATGCTAGAAAAGAAATAAAATGTGATGGGAATTATGCAATCACAATTAAAGATATCTACTTATGTAATTATTATATCTATATAGTTATGAAATTTTATATATAAGCATGAAAAAATGTGTACCTGGATTTGAAAGAACAGGTGTCTCCTTTGTGGTATAGCCAACAATTCCCACTTTTTCTGAACCAACATTTATAATTTTATAAGGAAGAAAGTACCCTGTGATATTATTTGCTAACTGCTTCTTTGCTTTAATATTTGCACTCACTATAGGAAAATTTACATATTTAAGGAGGGGATCCAATAATCCTTCCACACCATTATCAAATTCATGATTTCCCAGTGCCTAGAGAGAAAATAAATATCAAAAAGGAAAGGGAAAATATTATTAATTAGAGTTAATAATTATGACATATACAAATGTACATACTTATCACAATACTGTATTTCAGTTAAACAATGTTATACAGATTGTAGAATAGGAAGAAATAGTAAGCAAAAAAAGAAAAAGAAACACTGCTAAAACTTATAAGTCAGCTTTATCATATCACTAACATGTTAAATCCAAATTTTATCTCTTCAAAACCTTCCCTATCTATTTCAATGGATGCCAATAAGCCCACACAGTTTTCTATTTTCCTGATTGTAAGAAATTAGAACAGTACAGTATCTGCTCATGTGGATTATTTTCTGCAACTAAAGCCAATGGATAACTACATTTATTAACCAAAGTGGGTTTTCAGGACCTTTAATGATTTAGTAAAGTGGCTTTGTTTCCCTCCCCTCCCCTCCCCTCCCCTCCTTCCACCAAGCTATTGATCCCATTAAAATAAAGCAAAGATAACAGAGGCATGTCTAAGTCAAGAGGTCTGGTGCCCTCTCACTATTGAGCATAAATGAAAGTTACTAACAATCCAGGATGAGAGGTTTTATTAGGAAAATTAAATAAATATTAATCCTGAATTTTATTCCTATTTCAAAGACCAAATCAAGTATGCAGAAACAGCATGTAAATTGTTCCAATTAAAATCATAAACAGCAGATGCTTTAATGTCCCCCTTTATCAAACCAAAGCAGTTTTCTATTAGTTCAACATGTTCAAGTTCAAAGGCCATAACTCTAACTCATAACTGAGCCATAAAGGCTCGTAATACAGTATTCTATTTCTACAAATCAATTGCTTGGAAATTTCTTTCAAGCCATGAATCAAAGATTGTAAAGCAACTATTCCAACATGGCTGGGAGTTATAATCCCAATATATCTGGAAGGGACCAGATTGAAGAAGCCTGCTCCGAAGTGTGTTCCTCAAATTCTAATCCATCACTGAAGCTAAACCTTTCATAATTTTAAATTGGATAATTTTATCCAAGCCTTTTTATTTGTCCCATATGACTGCAAGGAGAATCTCAGAAAAGGCAACACCAATTGACCACCCGTTCAACCACAAAGACGGTGGAGCCATCATTATCATACAGGCACACAAGCATTTTATCCATCTCATATGTTTTTTCCCCTTGACCTGGATAAGGATAACGTTTGGAAACATGTTTATTAGATTCGTCCTTAATTAGATTTTACCAATTTCTGTGCAAAACAGTCTTCTGTAATATCCCAGAATGTAAGCTTTTCTGTAAACTTTCAGTCTTTCAGTCACTCCCTGTGAGAAGGGACTGAAATGTGGCTGTAGAAATCAAATGATGCGAACAGCAATGTGCCTCATCAGCCAAAGCAGCCTTGGTTACTTGTGACACTGGCAGACCAGTCATCCTTTATCTTGCCTCAGCACCGCAAACTGCCACAGCAATAAAGGAGAGTTTCACAACTCTACTTCTCCTTGCCCTGTAACATTTCGAAAAAGAAGGCAGGACCCACCAAGGCTGGGCCTGGATGGGACTGGTGCGGGCACACAGACATAAAGCCTGGGTTATACTTGGAAGAGGAAATTAAGCCCAATGTTCTCCAGTCCTAACGTCTGCCTGCACACCAGCCAAGTTTTTGAAAGAGGTAGGATGAGATGTTTCCTTATGCGGCGGTCGCTACCCAGGCCACCCGCTGAATTCATAAAACATCTATAAGGCTTTGTATTAAACTCCCACGTGCAATATTAGAGTTATGAAGCCAGCAAGGTAAATGACAAGATGACCTGCTGCTCTGCATGACCATGAAATAATCCTGATATCGGAACAACCCCTCCCTTTTTTTTTTTAATTGCCTCATCTTTCCATGAACATTTCTTTAGCCCAGTTCCTAAAAACCTGGCCCGTACCTGGAGCAAGCAAAATGGGTATGAATTGGGCATTGTTACTCTGAAACAAGAGTCACCCCTCACATTATCACATAGCAGTGTTTTCCTGCCAGATTGAACCAGTGGCAAAAGAAACACTTCTGTCCTTTTGGTCAAGTTTTCTTGTAAAAGGAGATACTTGGAGGATAAAGGGGGAAATCAGTGAATTTAAACAAGATTAAAGCCACGTTTAAACTATACAGTACTCCTGATCTGGTAGTCCTTGGATCGCTTTCCAGCTCTAATCCTTAACACAAGGTTGAGAGCAAGTTGTATTAGGCTCAACAGAACGTACTGAAAAGTAAAGATGACGTCACAGCACATCATCTCCTTTTCAACAGAGTTAGATTGTTAGTTTGTTTTTGCTGAATTCATAAATGGATATGAAAATTAGGACTGATTTTAAAAAAGATAATACCTGAAAACGCTAAACTGAAATTGGTGTATTTACTTGTCCCTAAGACTGAAGGCACTACTGGATATCTCTATTAATTAGAATCATGCATTTCCCCTTCAGTATTTACATAACTGGACCACTGTTTTTTCTTTTTTTATGCACATGTCCCATTTCATAGTAGCTCACCTGCTCACTTTCATACCTAGAACACAAAACCATCCTATAATACTGGAACAACTAAATTCATGGGCAACAGGACAATAGAAGGCTATGAGAGTTCAAAATCACATGGTTAAAAGCCACTTTCTATGGCTAGTATTTGCCAGGTTGGTTGTCTAAACCAGTAAAGGGGTGACATATGTTTCTAAAGAGCAGGAAATCTAGAAGCCCCTTTCCCGCAGGCCAAGAAAGCAGTCAGTTCGGAGGAATGGTGACTTCTCTCTGCATGAATCAAATGCCAAAGCCGTGCTGCTTTTCTACCCCAGCGAATAACCCGAAGCTAAGGGTGCAACCGAGTCAAAGGGAAACCGCCTCTGAGGCCATCGACGGCCTGCCCCGAAATGATAACAAACTGCATTAGCCCCAGTTCTACCCTCACGCGAGGGGGAATACAGCGCCCCAAACGTTATACATGTATTCCTGGGGTAAGGAGCAAGCACTCCCCGCGCTCTCGGCGGTGAGTATCCGGGAGGGAGGCGGGAAGTGGGGAGAAGAGCGATTTCTCAGCCGCAGAACCACTTTTTCACGCCCCCCCCCACTTCTCACGCGCCCCCTCTCTCTCGCCCACGCCCCCGCCAGCTCACCATCGCGTCGTAGCCCAGGCTGTTCATGAAGCGCACCACTTCGAGTCCTTTGAAGTAGCTGAACCAGATGGTGCCCTGGTACTGGTCGCCGGCGTCCAGGAGCAGCACGTTGCGACGCGTGGCGCGGATCTCCTGGATCTTGGTGGCCCTGCGCGCGACGCCCCCGTAGCAGTCCTGTCCCGTGCATTTGCCCGAGTCGCGACTAGTTTGCTCGACGCGGGCATGGACGTCGTTGGTGTGCAGAATGGTGAGCTCGAAGGAGCCGGCGACAACCGAGAGCGCGGCGCAAACCGAGACGGCGACGGGGAGGAGCAGCGAAGGGAGTCTCCGAGGGCAGCCCTGAGCCGCGCGCCGTTGCCCCGGGCTCTGCATGGTGGAAGCTCGCGCGCCTCTCCTCCCTCGCCGGCGCCGCAAAACTCAGCCAGCGTTTCAGGGGCATGCCCGCGGGGAAAGGGGGCGGAGGAGGAGTTTGACCGCAGTCGTCCCGGTGCAGCCTTGTTAGGAGGCGCAGGGCGGTGTCTGGCCCGGGCCCTTTAAAGCGATGTTCGCTTCCTTGTTCTTACTCAACTTGCTCTGAGATGGCTCTTGGGCAATCAGATCGGATGCCTAGGGGTCGGAGGAGTGATATGTATGATTAAGTTATGTACAGTATTCGAGCAGTGGTTCCTTCGGTGAAAGTAACACCTCCAGGCATAAAACAGGGCTTTACTAATAGATTTGTAGAGGTTGCTTTTCGGTCAAGCTTTTCATCTGAAAGCTCCATGAGTTCCAGTAGTTTAAGCCCACTGGACTCTAAGATTCCCAGGACTTGGAGACCTTCCATTCAAAGAAGAGTACACTAGGTTAATGTTTTACAATAGCCCTGCAACATCAATTAGATTTCAAGATAGACACTTTTCTCCAGCCAGCCAATGGCAGTTGTCTCCTGTTGGGAAAGAGGGTTCTGTTGGCTATGGGTTCTAAAGCACTGCAGGTGAAGGGCTTCCAAGAATTTGAAACCCCTGGTAACCTCTTCAGAAGAAAATCATCGGACAAGCATACTTCATTTAAAGTTTTCATGGTACATTTTATCTCCCCTATTACTCTCCGAAATGACACTCGTATAAGTTATATGATGACATTTCCACATCCTTTGCTCTTCCTTATGAGACCATGGAAAGTGAAGCACTGAACCAAGAGATTGTGCTGATTTATTTTTAAGTATATTTTATTGAACTAAATGAGACTTGATCACAAGCATGTGATAGGCCTGATGGATGCATCACTCAAAATCACTATCACTTAAAATCTGTTGTCATGAGGGCCACGTGGTAGAATATTGTTAGAGGGCATATTTACTAGAGCATATTAACAAAGCGCTTGTAGTTAAGTCTCGAGAGGATGTGGGTTGCACAGCAGGTGTCAGACCACAGATAAAATGATGCCCTACTTTGAAAAGGGGAAGGGGAATGGTTTTGAGGTACTCAGAAACCATTGAATAGCCTTGTTATGAGACCACCTACGACCCTAGTGTAACCAAAAGCTAATTAACATAGTAAAATGCACACCCCTAAGGTGGAAGTTTTAGAAAACATAGAACATGCTAAGCTTATTATGGGATGTTAGTATGTAATGTGGAATCAAGTGCATCTGCGCAACAGTGTAACCAATAATGTTTTTTTTTTACATGCCGACTTCTCTATTTTTGAAAAGGATAAAGATTGATGTAAAACTTTGCTCAAGGTTCCTCTCCTTGGAGAGACAGGACCCTTTTTGCTGAGGTGCTTCAATAAAAAGAATAAAAGGATTCCCCAACTCGGTGTGTTGATTGGACCTTGCGTGCCGAGTAGACGAACCTGCCACTCTTTTGTGGCCAACAGTCATTCTCTCAAATAAGCTAATAATATTGGTTTGCACAGAGGTGCCATATAGGTCACAATTCATTTTAGTGATTGGGAAAGCAAAGAGTATTGGGCTTTTACATCAAAAATGTACGAGTTGGCTTTTGGGTGGCATGCTGAGAAAATGTGGTCGAGAAAGAAGTGGTTGAATTAGGACAAAAATGGATTTTGATTTCATTTCATTTACATGTACCTTTCATTACAACTATATATATGATTAGCTTCCAGTTATGTATTTAATAATTGTCAGCCATCATATAAAAAAGTACAATTTGGTAAAAACTTTTCAAGGTCTCTGGGGATCACACTCAGTTGGAGTCATGGGTTGTATATTTGCTTTATTTTATTTCAAAACATTTGTTTCTTGTTATCACCAGTGCCTTGAAAGCAGCTTATGTCATGCTAACAAATCATGTTGCTCAATCCTCAAATTACGTTCTCAGGCATTTTGAGAAAATCACCTCTATTGCAACATAGTGTCTATAAATGTAAGAAACGTCTTTCAGACCTACCCATCAACTTCCAATGCACTAGAAGGATAAATTATTAAAGAAAAGGTCAGAAAATAAAAATCATACAAAAAGAGATATTTGGTGGTGAAAGCAACATGATTCTATCATCTCCATATGTACGCTCAACTGCTTTTTATTACACGTATGTATTATATAAAATATTAAAGGAACTAGTACAGTCATTGTTAAATCCAAGTTTCAGTTTAACACAGAAAAATCACTTTCCAAAATCACTCTGTATGGAAAGAAAAATCAGGTAATTTTGGAAATATGTAGTGTATGATGGATAATTTAGAAATTGAGATTATTTGATGATACTAAGTTTGAGTTTGGTCAACTTTCTCTGAATCTTAAACAATTTTATAGTTTCACCTGTAGCTCCCAAAGGTGAAATCCTTTTATCTCAGATGACTGGAAAACAGTACAATGGTCCACCACTGGAGGGTTTTGTTTTCTTTTTAATGTGCAGGGAAAGGTAGGAAGCTCAAGGAAAGAAAAACATAATTAAGAAAAAAAGATGTCTGGCTGGTTTTGAATCATTAACCTATTTACAAAGCAAGTGCTACAGCCATTGCACTATTATAGCGCTCATTGTAAGAATAGGTCTGAAAGACGTGAAAAAGAAACAGGACAGTAATTTGGGGGGCAGTAAAGTCGCTTGTTGTGACTGCATGTATATGTCAAGTGACCCACCTACAGGAAGAAAAGTTGCTTTTTTGGAAGAGAATAATGGAAAGGTGCAGCAGCGGGATGCATCCAGTGGGATGACATGATAGCTGCTATTCAGACAGAATACTTTGCAAGCTGTTGTTTTTGCAAATGTTTCAATCCAGATAGGATTTTCTTAAGTCAGAGTCAAGCCTTCATGAGCATCTTAAATGGTAAGTGGGGATATGCTCTGAGTCAACACCATTCCGCTTGTCTCTATTTAGGTCCCCTAACACAATAATAGGGAAGCAAGCTATACAGTAAGAATAACCTTTACAGCTGTACTTTCCTTTAGAGTTGAGGTATTTACTTGAAAGCGCTACCTACCTTAGATTTGATATTGACCTGAAATCAAAGCTTCTGCATATGTGTTTGTATTAAATTTTACTTCCTCATTGGAGTGTTTAATGACTGTTGCCTGATGTTCTAATAAAAACACACTGATATGAATCAGGTCCTATAGAATACAGTGAGCTCAATTTAATTTCATTGCAATAGAATAGAATAGAATAGAATAGAATAGAATAGAATAGAATAGAATAGAATAGAATAGCATAGAATAGAATAGAATAGAATAGCATAGAATAGAATAGAATAGAATAGCATAGAATAGAATAGAATAGAATAGCATAGAATAGAATAGAATAGAATAGCATAGAATAGAATAGAATAGAATAGCATAGAATAGAATAGAATAGAATAGCATAGAATAGAATAGAATAGAATAGCATAGAATAGAATAGAATAGAATAGCATAGAATAGAATAGAATAGAATAGCATAGAATAGAATAGAATAGAATAGCATAGAATAGAATAGAATAGAATAGAAATCTTTATTGTCATTGTACTACTTGTACAACAAAATTAAATGCCACCCCAGTGCAGCTTTAAAAATATAAAAACCACAGAACACATAAAACACATAACACACATAAAACACATATAATATTGCACTCCCATGTGCCTGTGCTACAAACTTCCAGAGTCCCATCTCCTCTCCTTAAATTGCAGCGTTACAAACTGTGCAAGCCATTTTTATCCTCCCTGTCTCTGTCAGCTGGAGTCAGAAACCAACTATATATGCAGTGTGAGGTCTGAAAAGGGAAGCACTTCTAACTAACCTTCTTGCTCTGACTAATTTGTGCATCATTTGGTCTGGAATGGAGATATGCTGATGGCAAATACTTCACAGGCAGATGCATCATGCAGGGGTTCCCCCCCTTCACAGGTTAAAACTATCTGTCATGTATCTCTGGGGTTAAGATCAGGATTCCAACTCAGAGTTTCAAATGCAAATAAACTCTCATTTTGGAAATTAAGTACTGTGTGTGCTATTACTGTTGTTATAGGTTTGCTTCATGCACATTCATACACTTTGTTTAATTGCAGCATGAATATTTCTAGTCCCCAGCTGAAGACCAGACATTCTGGTTCTGTGATTGTTGCAATAAGGATTGAGACAATGTAATTACAAGTTAGGTTGGATAAAGCATAAACAAATTGCTGAGTTATTGGCTACCAAAATATCCCATAGGGTCCCCGGTGAAATGCAATTAAGTCAGTTTTGTTTTTACCTGTGACTATGAATGAAAATTATGGATCACCCCTTTTGCCATCATAACTGCAATCTCATATTTTCATGTAATGTGCTATGATAGATATTTCCTATAAACCTTTATGTAAAAAATGTAGTTCTTCATGTTTCACAATCTATTAGCTAGGAGTAGAAAACAATCTAATAACTATTCTGGAGTCAGAAGTGTACAAAGTATTCCAGGTTAAGGTGGGTTAAGACATAATAGTTGCTGTTTTTTATTTGAGATATTTATGTGTTTTTGCAACATGAAAAAAACTGAGATAGAAACATAACTCTCACTTTTTACCATATGTCTATTCTGTTTTTCCACCCTGTTGTTTCTAATGTATAGCTTTTAGATCTAGTCCAAGGTATTGCTCAGAAAAATCAGATCTTTTCAAATAACACTTTACATAAACTTCATGTTTGAGGGCATATTTTGCAGAAAACCTGCATGCTTGTTACCCTTTTTTAAATATGCCTTTCTCAGAATGGGCATTTTCAGATGAAATGTTTCATGGAACCCCCAGGGTCCCAACATGGTCTTCCATTTACAACCCCTCTAAACTTTCCAGTTGCCACTTTTTACCCAAAACAAAAACTTTTGGGGAGGAATGAGGGTGTATTTGCATAATGCATTTTGAATAGTCATGCTGGAAGCCATCCAAATGGAGGAAATCAGGTTTGTGATTCTTCATTTGTGGCTTCCCATTGAGGGTCCCGAGCACAGAGTTGCAGTTTTAGTGAGTACAGAACTCTGTAATGTATGGACAGATTGTTATCTATTAGCTTGGCATGATATAAAGTAATAATTGTGTATTATTAACTCTT